GTTTTGATGTGAGGCGGCGGCGCCTGCAAAATCGCCGTGGTCCCACGCGGTGCAAAAACCCAAAACGCGCGTTGTCGTCAACGTGTTAAAGCCCCCACCATTCAGTTCTAAGAAGTCGTGGAGAGCGGGAAAAAGGTGGATAGAGGTCAGAAAAGAAGGGAAGGTTGAATGGTGGGCGCGGGTGCACAAAAGTGGGCGGAGTTTGCTACAAATTTATAACTCGGTTCCAAGAAGTCCTGGAGACCGGGAAAAAAGTGGATAGAGGTCAGCAAAGGAAGAGAAGTTAACTGCTACGGTTGGGTGGAGCATGCACCAAGTGGGCGTGGTTCGCTGCTAAGCATATAAAGTGGCTAAGAGATAGCTTAGTGGCGAGGTATTGGCGAGGAAGAAAAGGGTGAGTGGTACACGGACCGAAGTAGGCGCAGTTTACCGCATATGAGAGACAAAATCGGTCCAAAGGCAGTCCGGAGACCGGAAAAAAAGCGAACAATTGAAGAAGCTATTGGTGAATGGAGCGGATAGAATCTAGCTTAGAAGTCAATCATTCGTAGTGTATCGGGCCAAATTTGAGAATTTACACCGCACCATCCCAGATCGCCGCAATGCTGTGTTGTGCGCGCAACGCGTGCGGCGCCAAGTGGTTTATAAATATGAACTTGACAGAAGCCTTATCTGAAAAGCCATCTTGGATAGCTTTCGGCTTAGCGTTTTACTTTTTACTTCCACAGCTTTGAAACCAATGGATGCGGAAGTCGCAGTTATTGATGTTCAATTCAATTCACTTACTTATGATGCTGTATTGGTATTGCGTCAGCTCTTTGAATGCAGTGGATTATTAAATGTGGTCGATATTGAAGCTGAAATGTAACGAAACGAAACATCAGAGTTTGACCAGTTCGCTAGAAGTCCTGTTCTGCTGGTTCCCTAGGAAGTCTCACTAAGCGATAATGTGTTCTCTTGAAAGAAAACCTCAGAATTTATGAAAGATTTCAAATAACATTTCATCGGTCTTCAGTTGGGCTATCTTCGCAATCAAAGCTCTTTGTGAATTTTCGACCCTGTTTCTCCTCTGTAGATATCCAGTCGTTTTGAGAGTTGAAGACTTGTATAACAGGCTTACTATCCATGATTGATAGCCTTGTTTCATCTGATACTTGGAATCTGCGGCCAGTCTTCTCATGTTGCTCACTTTTGCGACAATATCCGCGATCACTTTCAACTCTTACAACTGGGCAACGTTCACGTGGGAGCTTAAAGGAATCTTGCGCGTAATATTCCTGCACTCTTTCCTAACATGAATATGTCAGTTGTGATCACTGAAGCAGAAGGCCAGAAAGAGCTTCTAGTGAATGCACTCCAAGAACCAAGTTTGAGCATCCCCGTCGCCAGCATTCGTGAAAGACGTCCGTGGGCAATTCGAACGCGTAGCAGCCTTTTCGAGTTTTCGAATTTCTAATCAAAACGAAAGCAATACTTCGGTTCTTTTCACTATTATCGTGGATAATGAGTCTCAAGCCAGTGATTTATGGCTGAAATAGAATCATGATTTTTCCGCGCAAGATTCCTTTAATAAGTGTGCTTCACTTCAGAGACGATGCTAGGAGTAACCCTATACACGCAAGTGCAGAGGGGAATCCGGAGTTCCGAACTACGCCAACGATCGAAGATCAGGGACGCTGCCGTTTTCGCCAAGGAATCGAAGATAAGGTGGGCCGGACACGTCATGCGATTTTGCGATGACCGTTGGACCAGAGCGGTTACCGACTGGATCCAGCTCGATGATCAGACTTTATAGCGAAAACTCTGAACGAAAGGAATGAACGGCTTCGTGTCCCTCGAGCGAGGAGGATCCACTGGACCACTCTAGCATGCTGACGCCCACTCGAGCAAATCGGCGATCAACGGGACGACAGGTGATACAGGTGACACTCCAGAGCTGCACGATGCTCTGCTGATGCATTCCTCAGATTCACTAGATCTCAGTGAAAATTCGGTTGGTGGCGCGTGAGGGTCAGAACCCAGTAAGTTTTAGTTGAAGTGGAGCCATTCGAAAACAAGTACATCGAGAAGAGAAACCACATGAGTATATGTAAGAGACAATGCCGAATCGCTTAACACGGTCAGGACCTTATTGCGCAACTGCGCTCTTTGAAGTGCAGTGTCGACAGCATACTTATGACCCATCTGTATGCAGATGGTGCTGAATATTCAACCGGCATACGGTATATTTGACATTTGTTGGAATTCGATCATTCTAAACCCGGAGCGATCCTGGGAAAGCGAACTTGGTCTGTTTACAGGGTGGGCCAAAATTTTCAAACCAAGAAATTATGCCACTTAAAGCTAATATTAGCTTAATCAAATGAACCCCTTATAAAGGGGTTGGCCACTAGTGTCACAAAGCAAAGAGAAGTTGGGACTGAATTTCGTCGTCTGTTGCGTTCCGGGTGGTGGGCAGGGCGTGCACGGGACAATGACCAGGCACTAACAACGGCTGCCTACCAATGGCAGAATTATGGTAGCAATAAGTGGTCGACGACATATCCGATTCCTCTGGGTCACTCTAATTTTTTCATTTCTTTATTTTGACTTATGAGTGTAGGGGCTTGGAACAAGAAGAAAGTGATTTCCCCCTCAAGCCTCTCTAGCCGTGAAGAATGACCAATAAGTTCGGTGGTTCCACGGATCTCTTTCACTGAGGGTCCTCTCTCACTGAAAGATCTCGAGCCGGTTGGTGGCGAGGCTACGTGGCGCGACCCCAGGTGGCGGATAGGGGGTAAATCGCGGACCAAAAGCCACCATGTACTTGCCCTGAGACGCAGGTGGATTCAGGGGATGGACTCCCTGTTTCTGTAGTGCTGTGTTGATTCATACCAGCTGTCTCCACTCAGGCGCATCCATGCATGCTTGCGTGTGTGGTGCGCTCTGTGTGTGTGCGGTTGGTATCCTGCATGTCGGCACAGCCAAAAGCTTGCATTCAAGTGACTGGGAAGTACATGGGAGGCGATTCGGGGCCGCCTCCAAAAACTAAGCCCCTTGTTCCGCTCCAGGATAGCGTGGCTAACTACCTGGAGGTCTATCCTAGCCCACACGACAGAGCCTGGCAAGCTACTCGTGTGCCTTCAATATGCCGAAAACAGCAATATGGATGGGCCTCATTCCCCTGAACCTGAGGGAGCCCCCAATACGGCAGCGTTGGGTAGGACCGCTCGGGAGAGGCTGCTAGAACCTTACAGCTCGGATAGGCTGCCT